GACCCTTAGAGAGGACTACTAGGCTCCTAAATATTGTCCCTTCTGTAGCCCTCAGTTCTGGAAGAAACTCTCCCCTAATGTGGATGAGATATTGTACATCTAGATTTCATCTCTGCTGGCCTCCTTGCTGTATTCCTCCAAACTATACTCCATCTCAGAGCCCTTGCACTGGCTGTTTCCTCCAGAATGATTTTTCCTCCCAATTATATGCATTGCCTGTTCCCTTGTTTCATTTGGGTCTCTGCTCAAATGTTACCTCCAAGAGATCTTCCATGACCAATTTACCAAAAATAGCAACTCCAACCATGCTATATTCTCTGCTCTATTTTTTCATTTTGCTGTTAATCCTCACCCAAGGATATTTTTCTATTGATATTTATTTATTTTAAAATATATATTTTATTGATTTTAGAGAGAGGAAGGGAGGAGAAAGGGATAGAGAAATAGAAGAAACATCAAATGAGAGAGAAACATCGATCGGCTGCCTCTTGCACGCCCCCCACGGGGGATCAAGTTGGCAACCCAGGCATGTGCCCTGATTGGGAATTAAACCGTAACCTGGTTCATAGGTCCACGCCTAACCAGTGAGCCACGCTGGCCGGGCTTCCTTTGATTTTTAGAGAGAGTGGAAGGGGAGGGGTGAGACAGAAACATTGATGTGAGAGACACATCAATTGGTTTCCTCCCACACGTGCCCGAAGAGGGCCTTGAATCGAGCCTGCACCCGAGGTACATGCTCTTGACAGGAATTGAACTCGGGATTCTTCAGCCCTCGGGCCAATGCTCTATCCACTTAGCCAAACCAATTAGGACATCCTCTGCTCTATTTTTCTCCAGGGCACTTATCACTACCTGATGTTACTTTTGTTGTTGTTTTTTTATGATGTCATGTATTATTTATGAATTCATTTATTATTTGTATCTCTCATTAGAATGTCAGCTCCCATCAGGGAAGGGAGTTTGTGCTATTCCTGTGATATCTCCAGTAACTAAATTAGTGTCCACTACAATAGGTCTTCATATATTCGTTCAGTGACAAAAGTTCCTCACCAGTGGCAGCTTTTTAGTAACAGTCCAGAAAATCTCATTTCCCACTGTTTCCCAAATGTACAGCTAGATGCATCTCTAGATCTGCCAGGGGCAGTGGCTTCTATACCCTTTCATGAGGCTTGGGGGCCATCCGGTGCTACTCAACCGCCAGGCAGCCCAGATACTGAACTCTCCTGTGTTCTTTGAGCTTCCGGCAGGACAGGAGAGTCTGCTCTGTTCTGAAAGGCTGGAGTTAACATTCTGCTCTCTGCTTACAGATGAAGAGATGATGGCCACAGAGGTAACCCCCTCGGCCATGGCAGAGCTTACAGACCTGGGCAAATGCCTAATGAAGCACGAGGTGGGTGGAGGGCAAGGTGATGTTTCTCCTTTTCCAGCTGTGGAGCCAGCTTCCACTATTCTCACTCTTGATGCCTTCAGAAAAGTTTTGAGGGTAATACTCTTTTATATGAGTTAAGTTCTAGTTCCTAAAGTTCGAGAAAAGAGTGGGAAGAGCTGAAGGCCATGTCTCCCTTATTGATATGGGCAAAGGCTCTCAGAAAAACTCAGCAGCAGGCCGGAGCTCTGTCTCCTTCCTATTCATAGGTTTCCTCTTCTATATTGGTTGTTTTTTCTTTTTGACTGCCTAATTTACATAGAGAGGAAATAAGCTAATTTCTCTTATCATTTTCCTGCCTACCTACTATTAAAACTCCAGCTCCTGATACATAATACTCAGAGAAAGTTGTGCTTACTTTCCCATTGTAATCTTTCATCCTTTCCATTAGGATGTTTGTACGGCGCTATTAATTACAGCCTTCAACTCCCTGGCCTGGAGGGATACTCTGTCCTGCCAGAGGACGACTACACAGCTGTGCTGGCCCCTTCTCAAACAAGTATGGTTATTTGCCCCTTCTTGAAAGGTTTGGGTCATAAGGATTCATTGACTCATTTGGAAGAATTGGGGTGCTGGGGCCTTCATAGTCCCACTTTGGCCCTCAATAGAGCTGTCTCCCCAGGTGCTGACAGGGACACTGCTCGCAGATGCTGTGACATGGCTTTTCAGCAGCGTGCTGAAGGGCTTGCAGACGCACGGGCAGCATGAAGGCTGCATGGCTTCACTGGTGCACCTGGCTTTTCAGATCTACGAGGCGCTGGTGAGTTGGGAGGACAGCCGGCTTTATCCTTCACAGCCAGGCCATACTCTAAACGTAGGCAGCTGCCTAGTTGCTAGTGCTGCATGGGGAAAGTGGCAGAGCCCAAACCTACTCCATTCAGTGGGTTTATCCTTACTTCTCAGCGTCCCAGGTACCTGGAGATAAGAGGTGTTATGGAGCAGATTCCTGACATACAGAAAGACTCTCTGGACCAGTTTGACTGCAAGCTTTTGAACCCGTCTCTGCAGAAAGTTGCTGACAAGCGCAGGAAGGACCAATTCAAACGCCTCATTGCTGGTTGTATTGGGGTAGGTCATGCACCTTCCTTTGTGCTCCCAACCACCTTGCAGTCTTAGACGATGTGTTCAGAAATCAGCTGTATTCATTGATCATTCTGGTGAGATTCCCTTTAAAACAACCCACTGTCAGGGTCCAGCATTAGTTCTTTCTCATTTGTTTTCCACAGAAACCCTTGGGAGAGCAGTTCCGGAAAGAAGTTCACATTAAGAATCTTCCATCACTTTTCAAGAAAACAAAGCCAGTGTTGGAGACGGAGGTGCTAGACAAAGAGGAAGGCGGCCTGGCCACCATCTTTGAACCGTGAATCAAGCTTTTGGGCATCCTTCCTTGGCCTTTATTGTCATCTCTTCTTCTCCTTTGTAGCTAATCTCTAGGCCCCTCTCCACTGCCACCTCACCACCATGGTCAGCCTGGAGAGACCCAGGTCTGGAGCTGGAGAGTGGCCCTGTGCAGGGCTAGAAGTAATTATACAGAAGTCCAAAAAGGGAGTTAGGGCTTACACCATGCTGTCTAGACCTCCCAGGTATCTCCCATTCTACTTGGAGTTTTGGCTTTTCCAAGAGAGAAAAGCTAGAGCAGAGCAGCCCTTCTCCCCAAGCTCTCCCGCCCCCATGCAGCCATACACATGTGCAGAGTGGAAACTAGGGGTGCTATACCCAACACTGCAACTAGCCAACCTTGTGGCAAGGGCTTAGCCCTGAACGACTCGTCCAGGTTCTCCTGGACCACCACAAGTCCCACCGAGCCCCCAGGCTGCTGGGCCTAAAGACTTCGCCTCCCCGAGGGGCATGTGTGGGTCAGGTGCTGAGTGCTGAATTTGGCCAGTTCCCTCACTGAGCAGGAATCTGGTCAGCTGATGGGATCCATGGTATAGGCTAGTGCTAAGCCCTGGATGCGTCCAAGTGTATCAAGAGTACCTTCAGGGACCGGGGCTGGGTCAGCATCAGTAGTGCTAACATTCCCCTTAGAGCTTACACATGCCCTTCCTTGAATGACCTTTCAGTGTGGTTTCCCCAGCACCAGGGTCTACTCAGGCACAAGAGCCTCAGTACCCTAGCTAGTGTCACGTGATGCCATTGGCATCTAAGGATAATCCAGACCAACTAGGCTACATCTGTGACAAGCAGCTAGCAAAGCCACTGGTCTTTCGTAGGACTAGCTGAGTCCAGGTGCCTTCAAAAATCTCATGGCCTTTCAGGTCCCTGGCCACTTCTCTCATGGGCCATTTCCAAAAGGAAATATGCCTTCCTAATGTGAGTCTCCAGTCCATCCTAGAGATCATAGGATGGCCCTCTAAGCATAGGATACATAGATACAGGACCCTAGTCTTGAGGTCATTGCTGGCCATAGACAAGCATACTTCATACAGAAACTATATAGTGTGTGTCCTGCAAAAAGACAGAGGGCTGTCATCAATCCACTGATGAGGGATTCAGTGAGGACCGAGTGGAGCAGTGTGGGCTGAAGCTCCAGCTTTTAGCTGGTGCTGGTCCTCAGGCAGGAGAGGTTCAGGAAGAGAGAAGCTGGGGAAACAGGACTTGGTGTCTGGTATAGCTGTTTCTATGGCACATTCTTGTCCCACATCCCAGGGGTCGTACTCTGGGCTTGTCAACTGTGAAGGCCATCTCAAAGCATGGTTCCCTCCAAACTCGTTAGCTGTCTATTCCTCTCTGTCGTCGGGGCTATGGAGGGCATAGTTGTATTTATTGTGTTGTACTATTTTTAACATCTTGTGACTTCATGCTAGAAGTTTTCTATTGTTTATAGAACCTTTTTGTAGAAACATAACTCTAAAGCACATCTGCATGTCAGTAAAAATCTCAATTTCATACAGAAAGCCCCAATCTGTCTGTTTCAACCTAGTGACATACTTCAGGGTCACTGTTTCGTAAGAGTGAACAGGAAGAACTGATGGACATGCTCTGTCAGGCTAGAAAGAGATTTCTATCCCTGACAAATGTAGACCAGGCAGCCCATACCGCTCCCAGGGCTGTCATTGGTGGCTCTGGACTTGTCTCTGATAGTCCAAAGGGAATTGATATTCATCCTGTGTGTGTGTGTGTGTGTGTGTGTGTGTGTGTATATATATTTGTATTGCTTTCAGAAAGGGAGAGGAAAATAGAAACATCAATGAGAGAGAATCATTGATTAGCTGCTTCCTGCATGCCCCCTACTGGGGATTGAGCCAGTGACCTCATAGTTCCTGAGTCTACTCTCAACTGCTGAGCCACACTGCCAGGCACTCATGTGGTTGACAGCAATGTAACTTGTCTGCTAAGGACCACCCTTTTTTCTATCAGCCATTTCCTCCAGTATCCAAGAGGTACGTTAAGTGGCATACAGGATTTTCTGACTGTCCCCAGAAAACACCTGTTTGGTGTTTCTCATGTAGGCCTTGTTGGCCCTAACCTGCAATGACATCTAAGGCCAGTATGCTGTTAACGCCAAACCTATTTGAACTGAGGCCCCATATTTGTGAACCAATCCTGGAAAAGTGATCTCAGACAAAACACGTTTTGTTTGGATGTGAATTTATTTACATGGAGGCCTTATAAAGGCATAAAGGTCGCATTTTGTGACACATTTAACAAAATGTATTTACTAAAGTGAAGCTGGAATTGTCCCAGTCACATTAGGCTCTCCACAGCAGTCGTGGCAGCAGGTCAGAACCCAAAATCGTCAGCGTGCCTCAGGAGCGTCCAAGCCCAGTCATGCTAGTAAGTCTGCAAGCCTCAGTCCATCTGAACTGCATCTAGTTCATCCAAGAACCGCCGGCACTTGCCCATCAGTACCTTGATGGCTTCGCTCACCAGCACATCAGGTGGTAATACCCCCGTTGACTCAACGGAGACTGGGAACCAAAGAGACAGGTTAGCCTAGACTGCTTGCTAGATTTTACATCTGAACTCTGCAAGGAAGCTGTAACACCAAAGAGCTGTCCCCCATCACTCCCTGCAAACTGGATACTCACAGATATAATGGTCCCGAACCCGAGCAAGCCGCACAACCTTCTTTAGCTTCTCATTCCGGAAGACTTCCCTGCTGAAGGTATCTAGCCGGGGATTGGCAACTCTGGCCACTTTTTTACCTAATGGAAACAAACCATGTTATCAACACATGAGCCCAGAGCTTTCATTCTCTCTGCTACTTTCAAAGAAAATATACCTTAAGCCTTGACCTGAACAGCAGCCCAAAAACCATATACCTTGGACTTCATGCACCTCGATCACACCAGGTGAGAAGCACCGGCTCAGCTCTTCAGCTGCCTCCCCTTCCACGGGCTCCAACAGTGTGATGTCCGGCAGGAGCCTGTAACTGGCTGTTGCCACAGGTGAAAACTTGGCATGATCTTTACCTGGAAGGAAATCAGAGCCTGTGGGAAAACCTTTCTTGACATTCCCAAAGCCTGTTGGTGACATCTTAGCCGAGTCCCTTAGCCACGCCTCACCCCAATGTATTCAAACTACCTTCCTCCTAGGACAGCTCATGGGGTTCTCACCAATGCCCTTGACACAGTGCATGAGCAGGTCAATCTCCTGGCCAGGCCGCAGCTGAGCGATGAGGATGTCGTCATGCACTGGTCGGATGGTGCCCTCCGGGAAGAGGTCAGCCTGGTTCCCCAGGGGAACCCATGTCATGTGCCTGGTGTACACTAGAAGAGAAGAAGCACATCAAAAGACCCGAGTTCCTAAAGTTGGCACCCAACAGGGAGGCCCTCTCTGTCACACCACCAATCCTCACCTTTGTGGTTCACATAGAGTTCATTGGGGTCAGAGGAATCTTTCGCAGCATGGGGGTTCCGAGTACACCTGACTTGAAGCCGAAACTGCAGTGTGTCTATTTCTGTGCCTTCTTCGTCTCCTGCATGAAGAGGGGGGTGGCAGCTCTCAAAGGACTAGTGCACATTTGAGCGCCAGGCACCATACTGTGTTATATTTCTCATTTAATACTCAACATATTCATTAAAATCAAGGCAAGTGTTCTCATAGATAACACGAATGTACCAAAGGTTTAGTATAGTAAATCCAGGATTTGAACACAGGCAGTCTGATTTCACAATCTACTCTGCAGAAAAATAGTTACTCTCCTTCTCCCGCAATTTCATTTTCTCAAGCCCTCACCTTGGTTCCGATATTCAAAAAGACGGGGATCCGCATGAATGGGAATGAGCCCCAAGCGATGAGCGAGGATCTCGTCCTGGACAATGGATGTGTTGTTGTACACCAGGACCTTTTCCACAGCCATGGTTGGCACCTGCCCAACAAAACAGCATCACCTATCAAGACATAAACTCCCTGACAGCTGACATAGGTAGGGAAAGGCCTCTTCCTGTAAAAATGCTTGATGAAAAATTTATACATGAGCAGGAGAAATGCTCAGCAGAATTTCAGGAAAACTAAGCCTTAAGACAATTCTTAAAGTGAGATCTCCCCACACACCTCACCCCTGCCACCAGGCCCATCAATACCTCAGCTAATAGAATACGCCGAAAAGCATTGGCAATGGCTGCATCAATTCCCACCATGTCAAACTCCAGTTCATTTTCATCCATGTGTACCACATCCACACGGAAATTCTAAAAACAAACACACACACACAAAAAAACACTAAATGAATCTTGCTCTCCGTATAGTCAATACTTTCCCCTTAAAGTATTAACATTCTTTTAGATGTTCCTTTCTCCCCCAATTAAAAAAAAAAAATTTTTTTATTGATTTCAGAGAGGAAGGGAGAGGGAGAGAGAAATATCAATGAGCATCACTGGACTGCCTCCTACATACCCCCCACTGGGGATTGAGCCCACAACCCAGGCATGTGCCCTTGACTGGAACTGAACCCAGGACCTTTCAGTCCAAAGGCCAGTGCTCTATCCACTGAGCCATACTGGCTAGAGCTCTCCCCTAATTCTTTGTTTTTTGTTTTAATCTATAGGGGTAACATGGGTTAGTAAGATCATATAGGTTTCAAGTGTACAATCTTGGATACATGATCTGTATATTGCATTGTGAACCACCACCCAAGTCATCATCTATCACCATATATTTGTCCCCCTTTACCTTTTACTATCATACACACACACCCTTTCCCTCTGGTAGCCACCATATTATCATCCGTACCTACGAGTTTTATTTTTCTTGTTTGTTCATTTGCTACTTTCAGTCAGGAGAGAAACATCAATGATGAGAAGAAATCACTGTTCTACTTCTTGCACGCCCCCTATGGGGGATACAGTCCACAACCCGGGCATGGCCCTGACCAGGAATTGAACCATAACCTCCTGATTCACAGGCCGATGCTCAACCACTGAGCCATACCAGCTGGGCTGCACCACCTCTTCTTTATCCAATCATGTGTCAAAGGACACCAGTTGTTTCTGTGTGTGTCTGCACTATGGCTTTCAGCCAGACCATCCAGAGAGACCTTTCTAGAAAACATGCTTCCATACTGCTTAGTCCAGTTGACACTAAAGCCGTATCTTGTTAGCCTTTTCTGGTGAATTTAGCATTGATAGGTCCCTTCTTTTACAAACTAGTGCCTTGATTTCTGAGCACCAGTCTTTTGGTTCTCTTCCTTCTCTGAATCCTAAATTCACTCACTACTTCCACCTACACTGTAAACATTACTCCCCAAGTTTTCCCTCCAAAGTGACCTCAACCACACTTAGTCTTAGCAATTATCTGTACTGACAACTCCCAAAATATCTCACTTCTCATCTCAAACATATATTCTAGCCTGATAGACTTATCTACTTGCATGAAAGTGAATGCATCATCAATCCCCAAATCTATTATCAATGAATGATGTCCCCATTCATCAGAGTTCCCCAAACTAGGTCATTTACACTCCCCCCTTACACCCATATCAATGCAATCATCAAACGTATTATACTTTTATACCCTCTTTGCTCTATCACCTACAGTCCCTAAGACACATTTTAATCTTGCCCACCACTCATGCCCATCCATTTTATACTTTTTTAAAAATATGTTTTTACTGATTCTTAGAGAGGAAGGGAGAATGATAAAACATCCGTGAGAGACATCAATAGGCCGTCACCTGCACGTACCCTACAGGGGATGAGGCTGCAACCTAGGCATGTGCCTGACCTGGAACAGAACTGTGACCTCTTGGTTCATGGGTCAACGCTCAACCCCTGAGCAACAGCCGCCAGGCCATCCACTTCATGTTCTAGCAATAATGAACTGCTCACACAGCCCCTGTAATTTAGCTTCTCTTCTTAGTTTCTCCTCATCCTAGGCTCAATGTAGATGTCATCCCTTTAACGAAATCTTTCATTCCTCTATCTTCCCTTCCATTCTAGATTGCTTCTGCGGAATGGGATACCCCCACCCCACTCCATCCCCCTCGTCCTTACTGCTATCAGCCGGCGCTTTCCACGTTACACTGAAACCGTTTGTTTATGCGCGCTCTTCTCCAACCAGACTGAACATCTTGTTCGCAGAACTGGGTGGAAACCACGTGTGCACAGAGCACATTGCTCAGTAAACCTTTTATGAACCGAGTCAATCCCCAGGGACAGCTTCTGAGCACAGGCTGCTCAAACCACTAGGCTCGATCCTCATACTCTCTCCGACAAGTCCAGCTCCACCCACCTTCTCAAAGCGGTCCTGGTCCCAGGCATCATCATAGCCCGAATAGTTCCCGGGAAAGTCGGTGGTGTGAACCTAAAGGAAAGAGAGACGAGTCTGACCGCGAAGGGGCAGCGAGGCTAATCCCGTCCCCCTCTCATTTTTCTCCTCCCGACCTCAAGGCCACAAAGCTTACATTGCGAACTCCGAACTCCCCTAGAACCACGCGGCTCCGCATTTCTTCCACCGCCTGCGCCGCCGCCATCTTCGAGCCCTGCGAACACGTGACTGAGGTTGCCACCGGCGCGTACGTTCTACTCGCCCTCCTCTGTCTCCGAGGCAACGCGTCCCCGCCTGGAAGATTAAATATCGCGAGACTCCGCCCTAGTCCACGTCCCCAGCTTCCGGAAGTCAGTTTGAGCCAAACATCCGGGTTTCTTTTTTCTTTTCTTTTTTGCTGTCGGGTTGATTCCACCTCTCACCCCTGTACCTTTCCTCCTCTCAGGCCCACGTCTCTCGCCCTCGCCCTCCGCGCGGGGAGTAGCGCGGGATTCAGCGACGGGAGCCCTCGAGGGACATGGCAACTACGGCGACGCCGGCCGGCGGCTCCCGAAATGGGACTGGCCCGGAATGGGGAGGGTTCGAAGAAAACATCCAGGTAATGGCCTCAAGGCTCCGGCTGCCAGCAGCCCTACGGGCGGCAGTGGTCAGAAGTGTCGTGCAGACTCTCCCCGGGCCCTAGAAGTCCGCTCCATTTGCAGCACTTTTCCTCTCCTTTGGGTCTTCGTGTTCACGACTAGTGCTGACCTGAAAGGGCGGACAGGACATGTACTCCAGCCAGAGGCCTCGGGTCTTTGGCCCCACACGCTTTCTTTCAGGACAAGTTAAGAGATCGGTCGGGGTCATGGGGAGTAGTGCAAGCTAGAACCACACTGTGCACAGTCTTGTTTGGAGTTGGGAGAGACAAAGGAAGGGGGCACTTTTGCAGTCCTTTGGGCTTTGATAGGAAAGGTAGGAGAAAAACTTGTATGGGAGGCAGGGAATAGTCGGTTCCTCAGGCTAGAAGAGAGAGAGAAGCAAGGTTCTGAGAAGGAAGGAGTGCAAGAGAATGGCCTGGTCTGTGGTGATTCCAGGCCAACTCCTCGGTAGTGGAAGAACAAAGCCCCAAGTCCTGGGATGACCAAAGAGGGACGTAATGGATGGGACAGAAAGGTCCTGCACTCTAGGAGCTTATTGTCTTCACAGGGTGGGGGCTCAGCCGTGATTGACATGGAGAACATGGACGATACCTCAGGCTCCAGCTTCGAGGACATGGGCGAGCTGCACCAGCGCCTGCGTGAGGAAGAAGTAGACGCTGATGCAGCCGCTGCTGAAGAGGAGGATGGGGAATTCCTGGGCATGAAGGGCTTTAAGGGACAGCTGAGCCGGCAGGTGGCTGACCAGGTAAGACGATCCCTGGCCCTAGGATGGAAAGTACACCTAGGAGGCCCCAGGTTCTGGCACAGAACCATGTAGAAACCCAACAGAAAATACCAAGAGGGCTTAGAGCCAACAGTCTGACAATACCCATCCACCCCACCCTTGTCTCCCTTCCTTCAGATGTGGCAGGCAGGGAAGAGGCAAGCCTCGAGGGCCTTCAGCTTGTATGCCAACATCGACATCCTGAGACCCTACTTTGATGTGGAGCCTGCCCAGGTGCGAAGCAGGTGAGGCTCCTTCTCCTAGCAGAAGCTGCCCTTCTCACATCTAAACTACACCGGAGACCAAGCCCTTAGAGCCCCCTCTTCCTGACACCACCAGCCTTCATCGTCACATCTGTATTCCTGCTGCACCATTCCTCTCACCAGTCCCGGAACAGGATATGGTGTTCACACCACCTCCTCCTCTTTTCCATCTAGTAAACCACTCATCTTCCCTGGGAACCTAGCTCAGATGTCGCTTCCTTTGTTTCTCATTCCTCACCCTATGTCCAGCTTGTCCCTTCCTGGTGCCCCCATGGAGGTCTGTGCTTCCCTCTAACAGATAACACTTACCAAACACCAAACTCATGGCCGGCAGGCCGTGTGCCTTGTTTATTTAAGCAATCTATACTTCTTTTCTTGTGTCTGTCTCCCCAGAGACCTCCTCAAAAGCAGGCTTTGTTTTGCTTATCATTTATTCCCAGCACCAGAACAGTCTCTGCATCAGAATATCAGTAGATAGTTGTTGACTGACTTTTCAAGAACTGGAATTAATCTTGGTTTGGTTCTTTGTTGATCCTTTAATTTAACCAATACTTAGCAAATGCCCAGTACACTCAGCAAGTACTTACTAAGCTTTTTTCTCTACATCCTCTGCTAGGTGTGTCTGAGTTAGCGGGGAAGACACATGGAGCCTGGCCTGGAGGGCAGTTATAGTTCAGCACTCATTTGCTGTGAAGGGACACATGGGGGACATCTGACCCGGAGCAGGCTAGACGGGGCGACAGAGTGGGTTTCCCAGGAGAGTAAAGTCTAGTCAAATTCCAAGGTGGTATTGGGAGCTAGCCACTTAAGAAGAGAGTGGGGACTTGTATTCCTTCTGCCTGGAATTTCATCCCAACCACTTCAAATACATTCCAAGAAGGTACTCAGCAGTGCCTGGAGGAATGACAATCAGAAGAGAGGAAGGAGGCACACTGGTCCCCTCAAGTGCCACCTTCAGAACCTTTCCCAGGGCTTCCCCATCACTGTTCGGAAATCTGGGCTCTCGGAGTTTGCCTTTTAAAGGAGAGCAGTTCAAACAGGCAAACTCTCAAACCCTCTGCAAGGCCCAGCTGGGCTCCCTGAGCTCTCCATGTTGCTGCTGCATCAGTCAGCACGGCATCAGGGGTGGTCCTTCCTGGGAGCATTTTTCAGGCAAAGAAGTGATTTCCTCATTCCCTGTCCGTCTTTACTACCCTCTTCTCCCTTTACCATCTAGCATGCTCCCTGGAGTTAGATGAATAAGATTCAGGCCTCCAGAACCTCATAAGTGCTGCCTCTGCTCTCCTCTCTCCTCTCCCAGGCTCCTGGAGTCCATGATCCCCATCAAGATGGTCAACTTCCCCCAGGTGAATGGAGGGGAGCATGACTGGAAGAGCCAGAGGAGGCCCTGGGGCAGAGGGTGGGGTCACCAGGCCAAACCTAGGAAGGAATAAACAGAAGAGCCGTTGGGCCCTCCAGCCTGAATGAGTTGGTGTTTTCACAGAAAATTGCTGGTGAGCTCTATGGCCCTCTCATGCTGGTCTTCACGCTGGTTGCCATTCTCCTCCATGGGATGAAGACGTCTGACACCATTATCGTAAGCAGGACAGAGGCCTTTGGGGGGGTGGCTGAGCTGAGCTGCCCAAGGAGAAAACGTTGTAGTGAGTTAGAAGCAGCCCTGCGGATAGCCCTGGGTAAGGCTGAGACCAGAGGCCTCCCAGGACTAAGCAGAGCCTTCGCCCCCACAGCGGGAGGGCACCCTGATGGGCACAGCCATTGGCACCTGCTTTGGCTATTGGCTGGGTGTCTCGTCCTTCATCTACTTCCTCGCCTACCTGTGCAACGCCCAGATCACCATGCTCCAGATGCTGGCACTGCTGGTAAGGAGTCCAGCGAGGTGGTGGGCAAGGGTGACCTTATAACACTAACCAGGCCCTGGTGTGCGTCTGTCATGGGGCTCCATGGCCTGGAATGGGATGAGCTGGCCGGGGACCTTTTCTTTCTCAGGGTCCCCATGAGGGTCCAAAGGCCAGCCCCCCTGAGAGGTTTTCCTCTCCACCTTCCTTCTAGGGCTACGGCCTCTTCGGGCACTGCATTGTCCTGCTCGTCACCTACAACATCCACCTGCATGCCCTCTTCTACCTCTTCTGGCTGCTGGTGGGCGGGCTGTCCACCCTGCGTATGGTAAGCTGGGCAGATTTCCAGGGCGGGGCTGTCCTCCCGGGGAGCTGGGGAAAGCTCATAAGAGGCTCTCAGTGGGGGAGAAGGGCCCGAAGAGGGTTCTGATCTGGGAGGAGTATCTTCTCCACACCGCTCACTGGAGCCAGGCCCTCTAAGCCAGCGGCCACCGGCCTGCGGACCTCACAGACCACCACTGGCCCACGGACCCCCGGTTGGCCACCACTGCCTAAGCTATGTTCCTGTTGCCCTAGGTGGCAGTGCTGGTGTCACGGACTGTGGGCCCCACACAGCGGCTGCTCCTCTGTGGCACCCTCGCTGCCCTGCACATGCTCTTCCTGCTCTATCTGCACTTTGCCTACCACAAGGTGGTAGAGGGTAAGTGACAGGAGGCCCGGGTGTGGGGAGGGAAGCACAGCTGCCTAGTGCAGGATCCAGCTAGCTCTTGCTCACATTCCATCCTCCTCCTCCTCCTCCTCTCAGGGATCCTGGACACACTGGAGGGCCCCAACATCCCACCCATGCAGAGGGTCCCCAGAGACATCCCCGCTGTGCTCCCTGATGCGAGGCCTCCAGCCAGGGTGCTCAACACTACAGTCAAGGCCGTCGAGGTGATCCTGCAGTCACACTGACCCCACCGAAACCCTTGGCCAGCCCCCCGTAGCCCTGCTGCAGAGTGGAGGAAGACTCAAGGACAGAACTGCAGGCACGTCTCTGATGGGTCTGCAGCTGCCAGAGCTGTGGCCGCTTAAGCACCTCCTTCAACGCCTGTTGGGGCTTCTGAAGAGCACAAGGCCAGGCACCCGGCCAGGACTGCAGGGCTCTGCAGCCAGTGCAGAAAGTGGGTCATCGCCTCTGAGGCCCTCTCACCGCCCACCCCTTCCTTCCTTCTATTTCTCCCACATTGTCTTGTTAAATATAGACTTGGTAATTAAAATACTGATTGAGGTCTGGGACTGCAGCACCCTTCCAATGGCCCTCCCTGCCACCCCACTTCCTGTGCTCTCTGCTGTTCTGTCAGTGGCAGTAATGTCACACGTTCCCTCATTTATACCCTCAGGATGGAAGGTGGGACAGTCGGGATGAAGGTAGGACAGCCCAGACTACCCCGAAGCCAGATTGAATATGGAGCCTGTCCCTGGGTGCAGAGGACAGCTGCCCACGGAGCAGCAGGGAGGCCTCAAACACAAGAACCATTAGGTGGAGCAGTGCACCCAGCTTGAGTCTGGGACACCAGTGGAGCGATGACAATTGGACAGAAACTTCCAGGCTCAACCCCATGTCGTTATAAGGCCCTTATACACCTGGGCCGTGGTGTAGGAATAATTTTCCTGGGTTGGCCCACATTTGAAGCCAAACTTGGCTTTGCCCAAGTTATATTGAAGCCAGAGGAACACACTCTCTTCAGGAGTTCTGTCCTTTTCAAGAATGCTGGTTACTCTTAAAAACAACTACTCAGTGGTTGAGCATCAACTTTAACGCAAAGCTAAAGTCTCAACAGACCTTTGAAGAAAGCAGGCTTCTAGGCTATAAATCTGGAAGTCCCTGGGGCCTGCTGAGGTGACACAGCATTCTCAGACCCCAGCACTGTCCAGACAGGACAGCTGAGGTAAAATAGGAGTCCTGGGACATCAAGGCCACAAAGTGCTGCAGCCGGACACAGTGGTGGTCTGCATAGCCTGGTGGTTGCCACGGGAAGGGTGGGGGAGTAGAAGAAATGGATGGGTTGTTTTTAGTTTAAATAAATTGAATAAAAGTAAATAACTTTTTAAATTAAAAAAGAGATGCCGGGACCAGTTTGGCTCAGTGGATAGAGCGTCGGCCTACGGACTGAAGGTCCCTGGTTCGATTCCGGGCAAGGGCATGTACCTTGGTTGCGGGCACATCCCCAGTAGGGGGTGTGCAAGCGGCAGCTAATTGATGATTCTCTCTCATCGATGTTTCTAACTATCCCTCTCCCTCTCTGTGAAAAATCAATAAAATATATTTTAAAAAAAGAAAGAAAAGAAAGAGGCACAGTGAGCCCTTTACTGTGCCCTTTTAAGGTTGACGCAGCGCCTTAAGAGGCTAACACAGAAGGGTAAACTAAGTCTCCATAAAACCCAGAGACTCAGAGATGGTAAAACTCCTCTTTGGATCCTATCTGGAGTCACAGCTAAAAAAAAAAAAAAAAAAAAAAAAAAGGCACAGTGAGGCATACCTGGGGAATGGGGTCTCAGCTTGTCAGGGACCCTCACAGGACTGGTGCAGCAGGAGGGGAGAGGCCCATACAACCAGGACATAGCATTAACCCACACTTGTGAGGCTTGCCAGCGACGTAAGGCTGGGGCAGATTTTGAGCTGGCTATCAGGCCATCTGCGGGAGCAGCTGAGCCCTAAGGATTGCACCTGCTCAATTATGCTCCCCCAGGAGGAAAGATGGTGTCTGAGTGTTCCCGTTCCAACCCCCCTTGCCTCTGTGCTCTGACAGCATACGTCAGCTTTGGAAACTGGCAATTTACATACAGACCTGTGTCGTCCTCTACAGCACGAAACACAGTACGGGAGGCTGAGTCTGGGTGGTCCATGGCAGACCAGAACCCGAGCCAATGGAGTCCTTTCTGGAACAAAAAGGCAGTTCATACACACATGCATAGGTGGAAAAGGAATTTCTGTTGTCCCAACACCCACACTGCCAGCAGGAGGTTTACAACAGGACTTCAGGAAAGATGACTGACACCCTTGGTCAAGAGCATGCTTATGTCTCCTCAGGGAAGGGCACAGACTCGCCACCCTTCGGCTGCCTGGTATCCCTTTTCTCCCCCCCCCCCCCCCCACTTCCTCAACGCCCACTCCCCATTAAACCACTGTGGTCAAGGTCACACCCCTATCTCTTACTGGAAGTCCTTGAGCAGTCAAAGATGACCTTTTCATTGCCAGATGCAATTTTTTAATTGAACTTTTTGAGGTGGCATTGGTTAACAAAATTCAACAAGCATTTATGATAAAAACTCAACAAAATGGGTATAAAAAGAACTTATTTCAACATAATAAAAGGCATATTATACTCAATGGTGAGAAGCTAAAAGCTTTTCCTCTAATATCAGGAACAAGACAAGGATGCCCCCTCTAACTGCTATTATTAAATATGCTTACTGGCAATCCCAACCACAGCAATCAGACAAGAAAAAGAAATAAAAGACATCCAGATCGGAAAGGAATAAGTAAAACTGTCACTATTTGTAGATGGCATGATACAATTATAGAAAACCCTAAAGAACTCACCAAAAAAAGTAATGGAATTAATAAATGAATTCTGTAAAGTAGTAGGATACAAAATTAATATACAGAAATCCATCATGTTTCTATACACTAATAACAAATGAGTGGAAGGAGAGATTAAGAAAGCAATCCCAGCCCTGGCCAGTTTAGCTCAGTGGATAGAACAAACCATCATGGAAATGTAAATCAAAACCACACGGAGACCACAACTGGCATGGCTCAGTGGTTGAGTGTTGACCTATGAACCAGGAAGTCACAGTTAGATTCCCAGTCAGGGCACATGCCCAGATTTGAAAGAGGCAGCTGATCAATGATTCTCTCTCATCACTGATGTTTCTACCTCTCTCTTCCTCTACCTTCCTCTCTGAAATCAATAAAAATATATTTAAGAGGGCTGACACCGGTTTGGCCCAGTGGATAGAGCGTAGGCCTGTGGGACTGAAGGGTCCCAGGTTCGATTCCAGTCAAGGGCATGTACCTTGGTTACCAGCACATCCCCAGTAGGGGGTGTGCAGGAAGCAGCTGATAGATGTTACTATCCCTCTCTCTTCCTCTCTGTAAAAAATCAATAAAATGTATTTTTTTTTAAAAAACTAAAAACAGAACTAGCATATGACTCAGCAATTCCACTTCTAAGTATTTATCTAAAGAAATAAAAACATTAATTTGAAAAGATATATGTACCCCTATGTTCACTTCAGTATTTACGAAAGCAATATATGGAAGCAACCTAGCTATTTATCAACGGGTGAATGTGTAACGAAATACGGTGTATATATACAATGGCATACTGTTCAACAAAAGGGGCGATGGCCTGCCGCTGACCCTGGCAACAGTTCCTGGGGATGGAGGAGGAGGTCAAGTGCACTCAGCTCTCAGGGCTGTGCTAGCTCTCCACAGGCGCTCCTGAGTCCAAGTAAGTTAGAGGGGCGCTCCGCCTCACCGCAGCATCCGCAGCCCTCTTTCCCACATTTTCTGTTCTGTGTCACGTGTCCTCATACTCTAAACACACACGTGCACACCCACATATGTGTACACACACACACAAGCAGACACACATGTCACTGTACACACACAATCACATCCACACCCCCCTGGGAAAATGGCAGAGACAGACATGAGAGCACAGAGCTGAGAAGGCGGAAGCAGAGGGTTGGGTAGAGTAGGAAGCAACCTGTCGAGGCAGCTCAGGTTTGGATCTGGGTCACGGGTGGCCCGAATCCCAGCTCCCTCCCTGGCCAGCGTGGTACTGCTGGGCTAGGAACTTCACCGGAGGCCTAGTTTCTTTCTTTCTAAAATGGGGGTAACACCACCACACACACACACACAAAATTAAATTAAATATGTACTAAAGTTCTTTATAAATTGCAATGCTGTGAAGAATCATATGGAAATAAATATAAGGGGAAAATGTTACCCCTAAGTTCACCTAGAAAATACTCACTTATTGTGAACCAAGGGTAAAAAGCTAATTGAAGCTCTACAACTCCGTCGCAAGGCAGTGCTGCCAGCCACCTGGGGGGGCCTGAGGCTGCACAGGCCTGGGAGCCCTGGGCTGGCTGGTAACCACTGTTCCACTGCACAATAGCAACAGGGTCATAAGACTAACACATTATCTTTATTTTCAATCTTGACGTTTTGTTCATCATGGATTTTTTAAAAATATTTTTTATTGATTTTTTACAGAGAGGGACAGAGTTAGAAACATCGATGAGAGAGAAACATCAATCAGCTGCCTCCTACACACCCCGTACTGGGGATGTGTCTGCAACCAAGGTACATGCCCTTGACTGGAATCGAACATGGGACCCTTCAGTCCGCAGGCCGATGCTCTACCCACTGAACCAATCCAGTTTCGGCCATCATGGATTTTTTGCATTTATTTTTAAAATATTTTTTTTATTAATTTTAAAGAGGAAGGGAGAGGGAGAGATAGAAACATCAATGATGAGAGAGAGAATCATGGATCAGCTGCCTCATGCACGTGCGCTCCCCCTCCACACACACACACACACACACACACACACACACACCCCGCTGGGGATCGAGCTTACAACCCAGGTATGTGTCCTTGATCAGAATCAAACCTGGGACCCTTCCGTCCACAGGCCGATGCTCTATCCACTGAGCCAAACCGGCTAGGGCTGCATTAAAATATTACTCATCTTGGTTACTGAGTGTTTCTTTCCGTGCTCCTTAAATTCCGCATGGGAGGTGAGGTCTCCCTTGCTTCCCTCCCCCGCGAGGTGGAAATGAATGTCACTCATTATTGCCGTGTTTGGTTCCGGTGGATCACCTGTGTGTTCTCAGCCACGCCACTTTATCTCCTCTCCCCATTTGGCAATCTATGAAGTAAAGCTATTGCAAAGGGTATTAAAGAAGCCAGAAAGTTAGTCTTTCGTGTTAATGACCTTTCAGTCTGGCGAGGCGAACTGAGGCAGTCTGAGGACAGTTTGAGCTGCTGAGTCACACAAGACAATGTGGCCCGCGCTGTTGTTATAAACTGTGGGAATTCAGAATGGGAGGGCTTTTGAGAGCCACACCCCTCTCCAATGGCTTCAACCATGGGAACCCTAAGTGGGGGGAAAAAAGTGGATTAGCACAAAAAAGGGAGAGACATTTTCAACAGAAGAACATTGCATGAGCTGAGATGGTCCACTTCCTTTTGTTGGCTCATGGGGCAAAGCTTGGTTCTGAGTAACCTGGACACACACAAACCCTAGAGGAGTCAGCGTTTCTTCCCTCCCCCTCCCTCTCTTCCTCTCTGGTCACGCACACCCCTCTGCGGTTGCTCCTAAAAATTCACAGCAGCTGGCAATTGTTTTTGACCATTTGGCCATTTTAGCACTAAACTCTGAAATGCGTCTCAATGATATATATTTTTGGCCACAATGCGAACAATATGCGTTCAGGGTCTGGTCCTTAGGAATGGGGAGAAGAACCCGTTTATAGCCTCAAACATCATCTCCCTGTCACGTGCCTCCATCCCCTCCCCACCCCGGCCGGTCGCAGGCCTCCGCCCTGACACCTATTTTTACCTGCAGCCGGGCCCGCACTCAGGGCGCGTCCTAAGCCGCCGGAGAGAGGTCCCCGCGGCTCGGCACCGCCCGGCGCGCGGCACCCTCGTGGGCCGCGGGCTGGGCCGGGCAGGGGCGGGGCGAGGGGCGGGGCGAGCGGCGGTGACGCGAACGTTGCCATGGGAACTCGCCGCCCGCTTCGGCTCCGGATCCGAAGCTGGAGCTGCAGCCCCATCGCCCGCCGCCCGCCGCCCGCTGCCCGCCGCCCGCCTCGGGCTCTCCCTGCGGCCGCGGTGGGGGAGCCGGGCTGAAGGGAGGAAGGGAGGCAGTGGATGGGACTCCGAGCGGTGACCTGCCCCGCGCGCCCTCCGCCGAGGCCCCTTAGCGGCCGCCGCCGCCGCTAGAGACGCGGACAAGCGCGCAGCAGCTCCCGGCCCGCAGCCCCGACACTGACCGCACGGTCCGCCCCGGCGGGCGACTTCGGCGTCTCCGCCGCCCCGACCGGCTCCGCCCCGGGCCCCGGCGCTCATCGTCGCCTCCGCCGCCGCCGCCGCCGCCGCCACAGCCTCCCGCGCCTCCGCCGCCGCCTCCGGCGCCTCGTCCGCCGCCGCTGCGCCCGCTCCGGCCGCGCCCCCAGCCCGGGCCCCGACCGGAGCCCAGACCGCGCCCGCGGCCCTGCCAGCCTCGCCCGCGGCCCGGGCGCCGGCCCCGGCCCTGGAGGTCCCGCCGCGGGCACGATGCTGCCCAGCTCCATCCAGATCTCCGGGGAGCCGCTGTCGGGCGCCGAGGTGCGGGACATCTGCCGCGGCCTGCGCGACAACGCCGTGCGCCTGCTCTCCCTGCGCGGCTGCCGCCTCTGCGACCGCGACTTCGGCCGCATCTGCCGCGCCCTCGCCGGGGCCACGTCCTTGGCGCAGCTCAACCTTAACCTGGGCGTCGTGTCCAGCCCCAGCCGCATCAAGCAGCTGGCCGAGGCGCTGCGGACCAACCGCTCCATCCAGTCCCTCTTGTGAGTGTGCGGCCTCCACCGGGGCTCCCTTCGCGCGTCCCTGCCCCCTCTTCCTCCGCGCTCCGTCCTGTGCCTCTTCCCACCGGCCCCGCTCTTCCCGCTCACACGCCTCCCTCTCCCGCTGCCCACGCCTCCGCAGCGCCCTCCCAGCTCATCCTTCTTGGGATCAGCACCCGCAGCCTCGCCCCCAAGGAGACAGGATACCCTCCCCTTCCTGGTGGGCAGGTGCACCGCTCACCTGGTCACCGCATTGACCTCTGGGGGAGCCCCTCAGGTCCCAAAAAGGAACACTGCCCCTGGACTAGAGCCCTGCCCCACCTTCTCCCACTGAGGAACCCTAATCCACTCCCACCCCCTTCTCTGCCAATCCTGGATCCCAGTCCTAGAAAGGAAACTAGAACTTCCTTTCTCCCTTCCCAAAGCCTGGCCTCAGAGCTGTGCCTGAGCGCCCCCCTCTCCTCCAGGGCTCACCTCTTTCCCCACAGACAGGGCCGGCGACTGCGTAACCTCTGCTCTCTGGTCTCACCCCCCAGCCTGCATGGGAGCCCCCTGACAGATGCGGGGTTGGCCTTGCTGAACCCAGCCCTGGCCCTCCATCCTGCCCTTGTGGCTCTGGACCTGGGGGACTGCATGTTGGGTGATGAAGCCATCAACCTCATCTGTGGCCTCCTCCCCCCAGACGGGGCCAAGTCTGGTGAGCAGGGCCCTGCTGAGGGCATGGGCTGGTGTGGCCTTGATGAAAAGCTAATGCAGAGGGCAGGGGCCCTGGCCCAGAGCGGAGGGCCCCGACAGTGTGGGTGAGAACGTATTTTAAGTATTTTCAGGAAGGAGGAGGAGGAGGGGTTGAACAGGATGGAGAATCTGAAATCCAGTTCTGGTGGGCAGGGAGGGCAGGGTCTCCAATGGCACCGTAGTTCTGTAGTGGGGGTGGGGTGACTCCCAGCCCCTAGGGACACCCCAGAGATCTAGGGCAGGGTAGGAGCTTAAAGAGGGCCTGACATTTTTCCATCCTGGCTTCTCCTCGCATTGTTGCCCAGGTCTGAAGGAGTTAACGCTGAGTGCCAACCCTGGCATCACTCCTAAGGGCTGGAGCCGCCTTGCCATTGCTGTGGCCCACAGCTCCCAGGTCCGCGTCCTCAATTTGGACTACAACCCCCTGGGTGAGGCTCAAGAAAACTTCCTTAGGTTCTCACCACCCCACTCCCCTTCCAAGAACCTGGGACCATCGGTTGCCATGGTTACCCCCACATTGGGGAAGGGAAAATGGAGGGGTGGGTCTGGGAGGTAATAGAGGAGTCACCTGTGTGGAGGACCAGATAGATTACCAACAGGTAGATCAAATCATCCATCACTACTTCCGGCTTGCTTCATGCATTCACTCACCAATCACAATGCTCTGCTCCTGGCTACCTACCAATTGTCAGCGTTTCCTGGCCTGGGGGTGGGATCTAAGGTTGTTAGGGCCGTGGGGAAGCTGTCTGGGAGATGAGTATATGTGTGTGCATGCTGTCTCCCAAGGTGACCATGTGGCAGGGATGCTGGCTGTGGCTGTGGCCTCCAGTCGCACCTTAGAGGTCCTAGACTTGGAGAGCACAGGGCTCACCAACCAGTCTGCTCAGGTGAGACATCTTCATGTTTGGGGAAGGCCGGGGGAAGGGGCGCGGGGGAATCAGCCAAGGTGTCTGTGGACATAAATGAAGGGGTGGCAGGCTGGAGTCAAGGAAGCCACCTTAACTGAGTTTATTCTTTTCCATACTCTTCCACGCCAGACCCTGCTGGACATGGTAGAGAATTACCCCACAGCTTTGCGGAGCCTGGTGTTGGCTGAGAACAGCATTAGCCCGGAGCTGCAGCAGCAGATCTGTGACCTCCTTTCTGAGGGAGAAGAGGAGGAGGAGGTGGCAGGAGGGCCTGGTCACACCCAGGAAGGAGAGAGGGGGCGGGAGCCTGCTGCCCACCCACGGGGAAGCAGTTCCTGGATGTGCCCCAGTGGTAAGAGCCTTGTGGGTTGATGAGAGCCAGGTTGGAAGCAGCTTGGGATCCGGGAAGATGGGTGTGGGAAACCTAGGCCACTTTCTTCCTGTGGATAGTCCCCACTGCAGGAACAAATGGTGGTCTGAACACCCGTCTTGCCTTCCACAGATCCCAGCTCTCAGATGGTGCTAATGACATCAGGACTAGGGGACAGTCTGTTGGCTGAGACCGAGATGTGACTCTCCACTTGGGCTTCCACACATTATTACATTTGCCTCTGTCCCAGCACCTTGCCCCAGATACCAGGGTCAGGCCCTGGGGCTTGGGAGGGAGGGGGTTGCCTGGGGCTCTGGCAGCTCGTGGCAGTGTGATGGGAGGCTCTGGAAGCTGTGAAGAGCAACAGCCTTGGAGGCACTTGAACACAAGGCAATGGCTCTGGACTTGTTGGCAGCCCTGGCTGCAGCCCGCTGGCTCGGAAGAGATTTTATGAACTCTACAACCTGGCGTGTGGCTGTGGTCACTGGGGGCTGGCAGTAGGGGAGGAAAGGGCATTACCACGAGGCACCTCTAGGGGGCAGTGCCACCCCACAGCCAAAGCATCCCCTGGTTCCAAGTCTCAAAACCAGACTGACTCAGACCTTGCACTACAAGGTGATAGATACCAGGTGCGATTCTGAGGTGACACCTTACACAGGTAACTAAGGCAAAGAGCTTACCTCCAGAGCAGGGCTGGACTCGACCTAAAGGGGAGACACAGGGGCCCCATCCTCTCCCACTGCCTGATGCTCTGTGCCCAGGGAAGGCCCAGGCAGAGCGGGGCAAGGGAGAATCACCAGCAAAGAGTAGGGCATCATGGGACTGGGAATACTCAAGAATGGAGAGCAGAATAGTCAGTAACAGACAAATTAGTCCATAACAGTAAAATAGTTTCATTTAATTTTAAAATAGTCATTAATGTGAACATTTCCCAAAGCTGGGAGTAACAGTCTAGAGCCAGGAGTGGGAGGGGCGCAGGCCTCCTGTAGAGCCCAGCTGGAGGCCCCAGGAACAGCTGAGGAGAGCCCTGAGTCAGCCCCTCCCACCCGGAGGGCGTGCTGCGCCAGGCCCTTAAAGGCAAAGGCTAGTGCAGGGGGTTTGGGAGGGAGGGAAACAAGAAAAAATAAAAAGGTTAATAGAAAATAGGAATTAGAGGTTAATAATCCCAATAATAGCCCCTCATCAAAAAACAAAACAACACACCTCATGGCCAAGAAAGGAAGGAGGATGAACACTGATGTGATAAGCCCCTCAGCTCCCAGAACAGCCCGATTTGGGCTGGCCTGATTTGGGGAAAGATGCTGAGCCCTGGCTGCATGTTATCTTTGGAGAATAAATATTTCAAGAAGGGGGAAGCCACGAGGCAAGCTGGGGCCAGGCAGTCAATGCGGCTGGAAGGCCTGGTGGGGCCCACCACCTGGCCCACTCGGTACAAGGAACAGAGCTGTGCAGGCCTTGAGGGATGAGAGTTCCAGGCTTGGCTGGGTGGAGACAGTGAGCTGCAAGGACCAGGTCTCCTTGCAGTCACAGTGCAGCAGTGGCAGGAAGGCAAGCAGGGGCCTTAATTGAGCAGATTGCCCTGCTCCTGGGCCTGGGTCAGGCTGTCCTTGCGGTGTAGGTGGTGTACCCCCATCCTCTTGGGGCTGCGCTGGGAGCGGCTGGAGCCGGGGAGTGCCCAGGTCCTGCCCTCCGGGTGGGAAGTACCAGGCCCTGTCTCTGTGCAGGTATCACGGGGCAGCAGGCTCTGTTGTTCTTCCTCGGGGCTGATGGGCAGATTCAGCTCCTCCTCCTCTTCCTCCCTGGCAAGGCCAGAGTCAGGTTCTGTTGGCAGCAAAAGCCGGCTCTCACCAGGTGGGGAGGAAGGTGCTTGAACCCCCTCCTCTCTGTCAGCGGGGCTCAGAGCAAACTGGCGCTGCAGCGCAGGGAGCGCATCATGTCCGTAAGCTGTGCTCTGGGCCACAGTGGCTGGTGGAATGCGGTCAACAAACGCCCGCTGCCAGCTGGCCAGCAGGTCGTCCTCGGAGCTGGCAGAGCTGGCTGGGGCACTGAGTATTGGGGGGGTTGGGCTGGGCTGGTGTTGGGGTGAGGCCTGGGCCGATGCATGGCTGCTGGGCACTGGGCTCGGACGGCCCCGCTCGCTCCCCTCCTCCACCAGGCTCAGGGAAATGGCCTGGCGGGTAGCATACGTGCAGTTGGGCAGGGGGCTGTTGTGGGGGATTCGCACCTTATCCTCAGAGAACTCTATCACCTTTCGGCCAGGATACAGAGGGTATGGTGGAGATGGGGTGGGGTAGGGGCTTAGTTTCTCAAAGGCCGGCAGAGGCACCTCCTCATCTGGGGAGCCCTCAGCAGTGCTCAGAGAGTGGCACTCCCCATTGGGTTGAGGGGTGGGGCTGCCAGGGACTGGGGGACTGGCTAGGTCACCTGGGTCACCCCCACTCATGTCTACATGAACGAAGACATCCTCAGCCAAGGGGCGCCCAGCACTGCCTGACTGGGCCGAGTTGAGCAACAGAGACTCTGGCTTCTCCAACACGCGGGCAATGACCGAGGTGGGTACCACAGCCCCTGGTGCCAGGCCGGGGGCAGGGTCCGGGCTGGCAGCCTCTTGACCACTGTGCAGATGTTTCCGAACCATGTCCTGTAGCTCACAGGGCAGCTGGGTTAAAGGAGCAGAAGGAAAGAGACATGAATGATCCCAACCTAAGACAGGTTGACTCATGGCAAAACATGGCTACCACATGCATGTACCACTGTGTGCTTGGCACTTCGCTGTATCTTGTGCTTGCAGCACGCCCAGGAATATTCTCATTTCTCACAAACTGAGGCCCGGTAGGGCTAAAATAACTTGAAGCTTTTGATTAACACCAGCAGGAACTGAACCCAGAACTGTTGCAAGGCCTACGTGCTCTCGAATTTCTGTCTCTCCCATCTTAGCAGTACCTTCTGCCCAAACCAGACGTAAGTTTGAGGCTCTGTACTGACCGCAGCCTTGGGAATGTCCCACCACTTCTGTAGGCCCCATCAACCTTGAACCTGAGGATCTGGGGTCTGGAGTTTGCACTTTGGGGTCAGGGGATCAGTTGGGCCTAATGCTCTCTAAATATTCTTATGGCTGATAGCTATGGCCACCCCTCCTTCCTGCATGGGATCCTGAAACTGAGTCCCTCTCGCACTGTCTCTGTTCCAAAAATACCCCCAGTCCTAATGATCGGCAGTGACAGCATACAGGATACCAAACAGTGACAGAGTTGACTGCTTGAGAGGAGACACAGAGGCCAAGGGAAGGCAAAGCAGCAAGGGTAGTGAAAGGCAAGGGGATGGAGAGAGAGAAAGAAACTGGAGATACAAGAGTCCTAGGAAGGCTGGACTGGCATTGTTGGGGCAGGTATTGGACTCACATCAGCGAACTTGTGGTTACGGAAGTGGGACTTGTTGCACTTGAGGAGCTGCACAGCCAGGTTGCAGTCCAGCCGGTACCGCTCCTGCAGATACAAATATGGTTCAGAGTCCAGCCCTGTCACAGGGAGCAGGGCTGGGCCAGGACAAAGCTGGCCACGGGCAAGGAAGACCCTGGAAGTGCACATACGTTGAGCTCCTCCAGCTTGTTGATGGTGTTCTTGGCATCCAGCAGCTTGTTGGTCAGCTCTACGATCTCCCAGTCCAGTGTCTTCCTATCCATTTCAGCCTTCTTGATCTGAAGCACAAGACTTGTGGTGAACCCAGCCCACGCCCCAGCCAGCCCTTCCTCCCCCTTCCCTCCTCCCAGCCTGAGACGCAGGAAGCCACAAGTGCTAGGGCAGCCAAGGCAGATGGAACAGACAGACAATGGACAGACAGAAGGAGACCAGACACTGCTGTTCTCCGGGCTGACTGTGGGGCAGGAGTTTTCTGGCATGACCTGGGCCCAGCAGTATAAGAGGCTGTCCATCCCTTGAGGGAACTCTACATACCAGGCAAGGGGCTGTACCTGGGAGGAGAAACAGTGCAAACGCAGGCACTGAAGCTTATGTATGGGGGTGTTTCCAGGATCAGGCTAGGAAGAGGGAGGAGGGAGGAGGCTGGGTGGCAGCTGGGGGAGCCTGTGAGATTATCTAGATGAGCTGGAAGGGAGCTGCAGGCTCTGATCTTCAGGTCATGGCTGCATCGACAGCCCCCTCCCCCGGAAGGCTTGGGCTTGCTGACAGTGCAGCGAGAGGCTGAGAGTTCAGTAGTGACATCCATCAGTACCTCTGCCTAGGCCAAGAGCAGGCTCCCAGCTGTCCCCTAGGAAGGAGGCACTGACTACCGAACAGGCCTCACATAAGGAAGAGAATAGGATCGGGCAGAGGGAAATGACCAGGGCCCCGGCAATCCCAGGTCTCTGCTGAGGAGGAGGCCAGGGCAAGGTAGAAAACACACAACTCAGACGCAACTGCAAAAATCCAGCTGTGGCTAAGAGAGGCCTGAGAGGAGAGTGCAGCAGCAACGGTGGCAGCATGAGGGGGAGACGAGGAGAGAAGAGAAACAGTGTGAGCATTAAGACAGTCCTGACTTGCAGAGCACATGGCGGTCCCCTCCCCACCACTGCCCCCACCCCCCTCCCCAAGCCACAGGGCAGAAAGGCATTCCCTTGGCAAGTCCTAGCCCCCTGCTATGCTGTGAGCACAGTGCCAGCCAGACTGCCCTCTTGGAGGTTACCAGCGTGTGCAGCTTGTCCTCCAGCTCCTGGTTGGCCCTCTGGGAAGCTGTGTAGCTGTTCTGCAGCCTGGAGAGGAAGACAAGGCAGACCCCTGGGTCAAAGTCCATTTCTTCAGGCCCTGAAGGATCTTGGGCAAGTCATTCTCCTTCTCAAACTTCAGTTTTTCTTCACCAGAATCAGATGGCTTCTGAGGCCTCTTCCAGCTAATCCCCAATGATGGGGAGATGTGTGCACGTGTGTCCTAGCCCCTTGTTCCCATACCTGCGGAACTTGTCCTTAAATTTGTCCAGCTCCTCGCGGCTCTGGCCCAGCTCCACCTCCAGGCAGTCCTGCCCAATCTCCAGCTCGCGTTCCAGGTCCTCGGTGCGCCTGGTGGCCAAGGCCAGGCGCCTGCGAAGCTCTTCATTCTCCTGCTGCAACAGCCTGGCAGGGGAGGGGTCAAGGGCAAAGGGGCATCAGAGATAGAAGTGCCAGCCCTGGAGCCCCAGGCTGGTCAGGGAGGAAGTAGAGATGGCATGAAGACAGGCAACTAGGGGCAGGGCACTCTTGAAACTCAGCCCTTCTGGCCCAGAGAACTCAGCCTGGCTTGGAGAGTGGGGAGGCAGAGGGGATAGATGTTAGTCCCCCACCCTCCCCCTCCCTGGAGAAGAATGAGAAGACAGAATTGGGTGGGGGGATTCTAAGTCTGTCTCTGGTTACAGCCCAAGCCACCAAGCCCCCAGCTCCAGTTTCCCCATTGCACTATCAGCTTGCTCCATTATTAATCTCCTGGAAATCCA